ATTAATTGGATCGTGTAAATATTACCGATCAATGTGGGACTCTAATAGATTCTATTAAGTACGTTAAATATCTTTAATTCCATCCAATAATAGTTAGCATGTTAGAGATGAAACATTAGCGTAAGATTAGTTCCTCATGTTTGAGCCATGTATTTATTCTATGGTTCTAGCTTCGATCTTGTGTATATTGACATGAAATATTGTCGTACCAATCCTAAACCTAAGCCTAAAATTATTTGGCTACTCCCACCCTCCTTTATTTTAGCGAATTATTTCTAAATTTCAACGGTCCAAAGTCCATATCACCTCTTTTAACACTTAGCGTTATGTACACATCCTAAACCTAACAAAAGCATTTGGAGACAATGAGAAAAGCTCCTCTACAAAATCCATTCCAAAATTTAAAGCTCACTTGATAGGCTCTTTTTAACCCCTTTTTCTTAAATCTTTTCTTGGAAAGAAAAAAGACTAAAGAAGAAAATGACATTACTATATGAATCAATTAATGTGTGTGAATAATTGGTGGAAAAATCCTAAAATAGATAAATAAAACAAAATAAAATAATAATGAACCAATGAGCAACACTTGCTTATTGACAAAACATGTGCTGGGTTCATGTTCATGAGCACGCCATTATTATTTTTTTCTTTTTTCTTTTCCCCCGAATCTGATATTTTTTAGAATAATGTTATTCATCTCGACTGATGTTACACACAGTCTAGGTGAAGTCATTTAATTTCACCTTTTATTTAATTTATCATTTAGAGCAATTTAAACTGTGTTTGTAATCTCAGTAGGAATAAATAACATTACTCTATTTTTTATTGTTATTTGTTGAAGGGGGCGGCTGATTGTAGTTTGCAAACTTTATCTGAACCAATGGATGAGGACAAGTTGTCCCAATGAGCTCTTGACAACTTACTGTTCTTTATTTGACTACTCATTCAAGTTTTTGGTTTATGGGTTTATAATTATTCACATACTGTTTTTTTGGTAGATTTCGTTTAATATAGAGCATGTTTGGAATGACTTAAAACGAGTACCTCTCAGAGTGACAGTCAGATAGAGGTGTCAAGACGGACGGGCCGGCCATGACCCGTGAAAACCGGAACCGCGGGCCGACCCGTGACCCGTGNTGTTCATGAGCACGCCATTATTATTATTTTCTTTTTTTTTTCCCCCCGAATCTGATATTTTTTAGAATAATGTTATTCATCTCGACTGATGTTACACACAGTCTAGGTGGAGTCATTTAATTTCACCTTTTATTTAATCTATCATTTAGAGCCATTTAGACTGTGTTTGTAATCCCAGTAGGGATAAATAACATTACTCTATTTTTTATTGTTATTTGTTGAAGGAGGCGGCTGATTGTAGTTTGCAAACTTTATCTGAACCAATGGATGAGGACAAGTTGTCCCAATGAGCTCTTGACAACTTACTGTTCTTTATTTGTAGGTAATTCGACTCTACTCATTCAAGTTTTTGGTTTATGGGTTTTATAGTTATTTAGATACTGTTTTTTTGGTAGATTTCGTTTAATATAGAGCATGTTTGGAATGACTTAAAACGAGTACCTCTCAGAGTGACAGTCAGACAGGAGATGACTATTTTCCGTAAAAAGCTAATTCTATTTAAATAACTAAGAATATCAGTTGGTATGGATTCGATTTTGAGGAAGTGCTAGAATGTGACTCTAAGTGTGTAGTACGACTTGGAGCCAGTTTATAGCCACTTGAACACTTTAATCTTACAAATAAAATTTTAATCGTAAACTGTACTCGATGTGATTAGGGGTGTGGGGAAAACCCGATCAAACCCATCAAAACCGTCCAAACCGAATCAACTCGATCGGTTTGGGTCAATTTTTTGTTGTTTACAATTGGGCTCGGTTTTTTGGCTATGTGTCGGATTGATCGGATCGGGTTATGAGTTAACCCATGAAAACCGAATTAACCCGCCTAACCCGACCCGCCTATTTTTAAAAGAAAAATGCACTTTATTCTTTGTAGGCTCAACTAATGAAGATTGTATAAAATAATAGATAATTTTATTTA